GAGGTGGAGGCGGCCGGGCCCCCCGCACACTCGAGATCCTCACCTGGGGTGCTCTCTCTGTGCGGGCCTCCGGTGTCCCCCTGTCTCCAGTCGGCCTCCACTGCAGTGACTGACTGCGCATAATGTTTTTACGGCTAGTTGCCCACATCTCATTTAATATATTGCCGCTGGAAGTGGTTATACCAAGAATATGGCTGCTCCTTGTACCGTTTTAAGGCCTGTTCACACCACTTGCAGTGCGTTCCGGCCGGAATGCACTGCATCGCATTGCGGCCAGCTCACTTTTTTGCCGGGCTGGAGGGACGGAAGTGACGTCACGTTAGTGACGTGACGTCACTTCTGGCCTGTCCGGCGACAGACGAGGCCACGTGTGCAGGTAAGAGGAGCTAGGAAGGTAGGAAGGAAAGGAGGGAGGGATGCAGCCCTGACCAGCCCACCTGAGACCCCATCAGAGCCCACCATAGACAGTCTCAGATGGGCTGTGCAGCATCTATGGTGGGCTCTGCAGGGTCACTCTAAGGTGGGTCCTGTGCGTCGCTAAGCCCTGTGTCCAGCGCGTCACTAAGCCCGTGTTCGGCGGTGGGGGGGGCCCGGCCTAAAGCCGTGTAAGGGGCCCCGAAATTTCTGAAGGCTGCCCTGCCCGCCGCATACCCATCCGATGGTAACCGGCGGCCGGACACCAACGGGTCCCCCCATCTCTGGCCCAGGGCTCTGTTTGAATAGATATGGCCCCTCCCCCGTAGGCTCAGGCACCGCACGCACCGGCGGTAATTTCGCCACTGATGTCAACACCTGCAGCTGCCAGATCTCTGCTTAGCAATCTAGGCATCTCTGTGTCAGATTACACTGGGGGAAGTGGCAGTGCATCATTGTAATGAGCAACAAATTGCAAGTCATAACATTTTCAACAACAGAAAATACCCTTCACCCAAAGATGAAAGGGGGTCAGAAATAGTAATTGATGCCATTGGTAACAAATGAGAATTCCAAGATGTGCAAAAGGCACAATCATTCCCTGTCCTAAGCTCAACCCTTCTACTAGAAAGGGGCGGCGCGCAGCGCGTGTGGAGCCGTGAACAGGGCCAACCAATCGGATACCGATTAATCGATGATTGAAAAAGTTGACAACTTTTTCAATAATCGATTATGTCGATTAATTGTTGCAGCCCTACCTTCTACATAGTACAAATTAGGTTAAGCATAGAAGATTCGCCCGTAGCCACACCACTCTTGCGTTTAGTGTATCTATTCAGAAGTTTTTCCTTGTCTGTTTGTCTACCATTCGTGCTACCTTCTGTTCAATCTAGAGTTCCTTTTCTCTTGAAGTCAACATCCATAGAGGCAGACTACACTCCCATGGGCCTTAAACCTCTTAATATTTGCAAGTGTAGTTACAGTAACAACAACTTTGACATGCTGGTCTATAATATTTTTTTCTCATCTTTTCACAGATGAGAGCAGGTTCCGCCTGAGCACATGACACACGTGAATGGGTCTGGAGAAGCCGTGGAGAACATTATGCTGCCTGTAACATCGTTCATCATGGCGGGTTTGGTGGTGGGTCAGTTATGGTCTGGGGAGGCATATCCATGGAGGGACGGATAGACCTCTACAGGCTAGACGATGGCACCCTGACTGCCATTAGGTATCGGGATGAAATCCTTGGACCCATTGTCAGACCCTACGCTGGTGCAGTAGGTCCTAGGTTCCTCCTGGTGCAGGACAATGCCCGGCCTCATGTGGCGAGAGTATGCAGCCAGTTCCTTGAGGATAAAGGAATTGATACCATTGAATGGCCCCCACGCTCGCCTGACCTGAATCCAATAGAACACCTCTGGGACATTATCGGTCCATCTGACGGCACCAGGTTGCACCTCAGTCTGTTCAGGAGCTCATGCCCTGGTCCAGATCTAGGAGATACCCCAGGACACCATCCGTCGTCTCATTAGGAGCATGCCCCGACGTTGTCAGGTATCCATACAAGCACGTGGGGACCATACAAACTACTGAGTACCATTTTGAGTTGCTGCAATTATATTTCAGCACAATGGACTAGCCTGCTGCATCATTTGTTCACTTTGATTGTTGGGGTGTCCTTGAATTCGGCCTTCTGTAGGTTGATAATTTGTAATTTCAAATGATGTAGCATCCTTTCGTTCCTAACACCAATATTGCCGATGGCCAATTTTGGGTAAGGTCGTTTTTTTGCAATTTCGCGTGCGCAATTTTAAGGCTTGACATGTTTGTTGTCTATTTACCGGACGTGACCCCGTCTTTTATATTTTACCAAAAAATTGAATAATAAATCATTACATAATGTAAAGGAAAACTTTTTTTAAAAATAACTTTTTGGTAATTTTTCCTTAATACAGCAAAAAATAAAACCCGCAGTGGTGATTAAATACCACCAAAAGAAAGCTCACTCTGTCCCCCTAAAATTATATCACATTAATTTCAGTAGTGTTGTATGACGGAATAAACATCAACATACTGCAGCGCTGAATACTGAAAAATGGCCTGGACAGGAAGTGGGGTTAACACCCCAGTCTTCAAGTAGTTAATAAGTGTTTTCCTAAATTAAAACTTGGGGAAAACTTTTAAAAGCTTAGGATTTTGGATGACCCTGACAATGATCGCACAAGGTGCTCCATTCTTGTTCTAGTGCATTGCACAACTCCAACTAAAGGGGGCCATACACTGTGCCAATTTCAGGGAGTTCTGGAGGAACTGGCCAAAATTCACACAGTAAGTGTCGCTGTTGGCACCCTTTTGGCCGGCATCCCTCAATCAATTGATCGAAAGGAGCCGGTCAGAAAATCTTCGTACAAACAGAGGCGGCAGAATACAATGCATGAGTCCTTTATCAACGCGCTCGTAGCGTTGGAGGAATCTGCTCTATTTTTTCATTCAGCACGCAGGTTGAGCAGTGTATGGCCAGCTTAACCCCTTCATGACTGAGCTTGTTTTTAGTTACTGTTCGTAAATGACTGACACACTTTTGACATTTTTGCTGTGTGATTCTTCCACGTCAGTAATATACTTTCTTACAAAGTGCACGCACACATATTATATATTGTTTTTTAGAGGACAGATAGGGCTACATATTTATATCACATATGTGTGTCTAACGCCTCACTTAGGACAAATAAAATATAAAAAAAAAGGAGGAAAAAAAACGTAAAAAATACACTTTTTTCCCAGTTTTGATTTGTAGTATTTTTTTTACAAAACCAGCACAGCTAGAAAATGCAATAAATACATTCATTTATTATTTTTTTTTTTTTTTACACTTTAAAAAATTTTTTTTTTTCACTTTTCACTTTTTTTTAAACTTAAAAATGTTATTTTATTTAATTATATCAAGCAGTCATTGTGAATTAATCTCACTGTTACTGCTTGATAAATTAATACATTTTTGGTTATCAGGCTGCTTCAAACTTCAGAACAGCCGATAATAAAAGGTTTTCTGAAAGGTTGCAACAATGATCAGCAAACTGAAACATTCGTCTTTCAGGAATAGATACATTATGTATCTATTCGTGAAAGAAAAAAAAACCAGTATAGATTGAGAGAGATATCTCTCTCGATCTATACGAGCGGTCAGAATGCCGGCAAGTGTGTCCGCTCTGCTTTGACTCTCAGACACCCGATATTATACCCGGTGTCTGAAAAAGGTTAACCCTTTCATTAATGAATGCCTCTGTAGTAAGGGCATCCATTAATGAATGGTAAAAGCTGATTCTCAGCGGTTACAAACCCTCTAAAGCAGCAAATAACTTGTCACGTACAGTGTACGTGAGGAGTCATTTGGTCCCTTTGTGGCTGGACGTACAGTGTACGTCTCCCGTCACGAAGGGGTTAAAGCAAGTTAAGTGAACTGGCTTCAGAACACCTGCAGTGTTTATTAGCTGGCATTTTTAGGTCTCAGATTGATTTATGTTACTGAGAATTGTCGGAATGCGTTAGATCAGTTATAATTGTGTGGAATTTGCTTTTATACAGGTATAAGCATGAAATATAGAAAAAGATGCACATAGTTTCATAACCATTTCATATTTTATTGTGGATCATCTTGACACAATTACAGCAGCTTTTGTGGTACCTTTTCTCAGTCCTCCTTAAGGGAATGTGAATAGCAAATTTAACAAATACAGACTGAAAACTTCTAAAATCACCAAACAGGGTTCTGGATAGAAGATATTCTACATGCGAATGTAGCTGGGGACATAGAAGGAACAAAAAAACAGAATGGAAACTTGACCAACTTCTTTAGATAACCTGGTATTGGAGACCAGCATCTGGACACACGATGCTTCAAAAAGCTGGGTAGAGAGGAGACGACATAGTATAGGGCAAAATACATATACTATATAAGTACCACAACAGAATGCCTACATGCAACATGTAGACAAACAAGATCCTTCTTGCATGCTTCATCCTCTACTGCGTCGGCTCATGGAAGGTACAAAGATTTGTAAAACATAAGAATCAGTTTACTTTTCAGTTTGATTGAAGTTTTATTATTCTCAAATTGCAATTTGCAAGGATATTATGTGTTTGAACAATCATGCACACTTGCCATATAAAATGTGCTAGAGTTCAGTTATAGTGTTTATGTGGGTGCCATATTTGTAATGTTTGCGTCCAGACTAAGCCTACCCTGCGGGACCAACATTCTTAAAAACAAAAGTCAATTATTTGTATATGTTTTTACTGCTGCAGCCATATGTTCCTTACTTGTAATACAATTACACCTTTATAATGTATAGTGGTAGAATAGTCTACATTTGCAGTAAAAATCAAGAAATGTAACAACTTCTGGAAAAAAAAAAAAAGAACCCGGGCTTTTGTTTCCTAGGCAACATAAAAAGGTAAACCTCTATACCAGTCATTTTTATGACCGTGTTCCTGGCCTACTTGGAAATATGTTCGGAAATTAAGGCACCACCTGTTAAATCCACTGATTCCAACATGAGTTATGAATCACTACTTCATTTAACTTTTGTACTGTTATGACAGTCAGGCTTTTATGATGGCAAAGGCCTCTCTCATTTTAACTTAGGATAGACAGACTATACAGCACAATATTTTTACATGTATATAACTTTTCTTTAGAAGTACAGCAAACATAAAAGAAACACACTGGGCAAAACCAAAAAGACACTCAAAAGAAAATAAAAGATGAATTTTCCAGTTTCTGTCCGCAAAATTATCCTTAGGAATGTGTTGTTGGCCCATTAACTGTGCAAAAGAGACCAAAAAGCACATGATCCCTTACCCAACATGAGTAGCACTGTGAACATGAAAAACTAAATATAGGATATAAAGTATTCTCTTATTACTAGTATTCATGCAAAACTGAAAAAAGCAGAAGAGTTTCAGCAGAAAACTGGGATTGATTTACTAATGGTAAAAGGTCATTTTCTCATTAGATGAAGCAAACCTGCTCCTTCCCATTATCCAGTTACCTGAAGGAGAAGTTCTTGCGTTTTTAGAACCCTCTGAATGACACAGTGTTTGAAAAACACTGCTTCTCTTAAGCATGTGAAAATAACCTAAATAATAATCAATCTCATTACATTAGTAAATCATTAAATGCAATTCAGCAGACCTTTTTGTAGGATGCCAAGTGTGGCTGTGTCAGCAAAAGAGCTACAAACTTTGCTTAAAGCGGTTTCATTTGGAGGAAGCAAACTGATTGCAAATCAAGTACAGCAGCTCTTACAAAAATCCAAAAACAATTATGTCAATCCCTAGTGTTTTCTGATAGTGTATGCATAATGGCAAGAAAGAAAAATGGATTTCATAATTTTGATATCAGAGGAATCTCTGACAGCAAAAAGGCATGGTATTATTTAAAATATCTGCTCCAAAGGTGCAACTGATAATTACCTTTTTGATATTAAAAGGAAATTTTGGTACTGAAAGAAAAGGAAAACAAACAAAAAAAAAAAAGGTAAAAATGTTTTCATTTCTGGTAAAATTGGGCCTCCCAGAGTGATAATGGCTTGATCATGCGATTGCAGGTCAGTCTTTACATTTTCAGTTCTGTCCAAGTGCATCTTATGGTAACAGGAAAAAAGGAGGTGAGGTTTAAAAGGAGAAGAGTGGGACCCTGCTTGCTCAGGATTCTGCCAGTGTCGATTTGATCTCACTAAGGAGGCTGCTTAGAAGAGTTGCTTCACTGCACTTCCCATCAATGGATATTGACTTCTCGCCCTGTAAAAGAAGAACAAATAAAAAAACTTACATTGTGGACAGATATAGCAATCTGCTTTCTGTAGTTTTGTCCCTAAATGAAAAAAAAATTAAAAGACAGAAAAAGAAAAAAAAAAAATCACTGAAATGGCTATCCTGCAGTTTTCCAAAGAATAACAATTCTAAGCACTTCTGAACCGACTGTGTAATAACATGGACATGTTTTGCCTCCAAGAATTTTAATAGGACCTGGGGCCCAGTTATACATTTTACATGCAAGAACACCTACAGGTGAAATCTGGGAATGCAATTTGACTATTCAAAATGAATGGTGCTCTAAGGGTTAGACCCTCCTATAGTGAACCGGGCAGCATTATTAGGGTTATTCACAAAAGGGTGAAGAGTCTGGAGAAGCAGGAGAAGTGAACAATCTAGATCAACATAGCTGATTTGGAAACATTATCCACTTCAGCTCACTTTCCAGTTCAGCTATGTTGTCCTAGATTGTTCTTCTCCAAACGCTTCACCCTTTTTTAAATAACCTTTATAGTAATGCCTTAGAAAAGGTACCACAATGTGTCTTCTATTGTTTTTCTTAGAAAACCCTTTTCCATGCACTGCTTTAGTTTCATTTGCCAACTAAGGACTTGACCACACAGACTTCTTAAGACTGACCCACATGCCTCCACTCTGTCTAATAAGATTATATCTTCAATGCCCACTGCAGTGCTTTCAATGGACAAAATGTGAGCCAGGGAAAAGCAGGGTTACAAAGCATTGTTCCTTTTTGGATATTGATACTATATTGTTCTAATTTGGCTGAAGTCTATTTGCTGGAACATTCTTGTAAAGTTTACTGCAGTAAATGTGGTGGAAATATAGAGTGTGTGTACATGGTGCTAAAAATCCTTTTCTCAGAGTATACTGAGGGACACAGCTTGATAATAGGGCAACCAAAGGTAAACTGATGCCTACAGAAGAAATGGACACAAGACACATAGAAAACTGAAGGCCAGCCTCCTTGAGACGCAGACAAAACGATTATATAGCAAGTTTAAACATCTTTTTCTCTATCATCCATTAAGGGACACAGCTTGATAATAATTAAGCAGCCTAAGATGTCCAAAATGTAGACCAAACTGAGGGGCAGGCACACCCAAACTAACAGGAAAATCAGCCCAACAAGAACTCCCAAAACAAAAGAGAAACCAAGGGCATTATATGGCCACTTGTAGCATAGTCCACTTTATGACAAAGTCCTCTACAAAGAGATAGAGCACCAGGAAGCGCTTGCCTGGATGTATCCAATATTTGTGGATAGCAGGGGGATGATGATGAGGAAACACCCTGGCGAACACCGACATCTATTAGAGCCAAACCAAGAGGTTGTGGTTTTTTTCTGTTTTGGTGAAACAACGGTCGACTGAGATTCAGCTGGTGAGGTTTTCTCTTATTCTAGGGCAGATAGAGACTTGGTGTCTAAAAATGAGTCATCTGAAAGATCCCTGAGAGACTCAGAAATGTTAGGTATCTCTGCATTAGAATGCGCTGGGGAAAGTTTTAAACCATTGCAATCAGACGGAGCAAATTAGGGCTTGGTTTGCAGAGTGTGCCACAGCCACAGGGTGACTGAACGTCCATATGGTGCCAGACATGATGCCCATGATCAAAAGAGTGTATACCTTTAAGAAAAGGTGCTACCAAAATCCGCCAGGAATACTTAATGGCCCAAGTGGAGCAGTATACCAGAGATTAAGCAAGGGAAATGGCTTTATGGCCACTTGTCACTGCAGGCAGAACTGTAGAAACAACTGCATACCTTCACTGTCACTAGGCTCTATTAGTGCAGATAAAGCTGGAGAGGAGCAGTTTCCAAAATATAGGCAACTGTTTTGTGAGACATCTGCTCACCGCCACTTTAGCCAAGAGAAACGGCGGGATGTCTGACAGAAGTGGTTAGTGCGTGCATGTGCATTCACCCCGTATCCCTACTAAATGTTTTGTCATCAAACTCCCAAAGAAGGAGGGGACCCAAAGTTCAAATCAACTGCTTATCCATTCATGTATTTCCACTGACTGCTGGATCTTTTTAAACCTTTTCAACCAAAACCATGCGCTCCCCCACATCTGATCTACATTTTGTCTCTCCCTGTGACCTGTATGTTAACACCTCCGCCCTGCCACTGTATGTGACCTGTTTATCGACTCCTTCACCTCCACTGCATCACCTGTACAATAACATGTCCAGTGTATCCATTTCAAACTCCATATTTTAACCACCTAAATATTAGCATGGTTCCTTATTTCCTAAAAATGATACAAAAAAAACCTTGGGGTGTCATTTTGGGAGTGTCTGTACTGGCCCGGTACTTTTAGTTTTACAGAAAGATCTTTTTTGGTCTTTTTTATCTTTTCATAGTAAAAATGAAAAAAAAAAAAAAAAGTGCTTATTAAATACCAGCAAAAAAAAAAAAGGTATGAACTCATTTACATAGAGTGTTGCGGGAATTATCAAACTATCATAGTGCTGAAAAACAGCATGGTAATATAGCCGTACTACAGGTTGCTACTCAAATTTAAATCAATATCAAGCTGTGTCCCTCAATGGACGATAGAGAAAGTGTTGTCAGGGTATTTCTATATAAAATTACAAAAACTGATGAACTATGACTTTTGCAAAAACTAAATCAAACTTTTCTATGCACTCTGTAAGACAAGAGGCCAGAAGTCTGGGCTTGACAGATAAATTAATTGACCAAAATAGCCTATTGCATACAAAACTAAGCAATGAACAAACAATACAGGAGAGAGCCTTGAGGAACTAGTTTTTGTACAACCAAATATATACAAAGAGGTATCGGGGGTACCACCTTTCCCCAAAAGGCAGGGAAAAATGTGTGTGCGTCTTATGGAGCGAATCCCTATCGCCCGATGCCCGGGACATGCAGTTCCGGGCGCCGGGCAAGTAGTTTTTTGTACATTTAGCCCTGCTCCTGACAAGCAGAGGTAAATGTACAGTGGGAGCCGCTGCTCGTTTAATACAAGTGATCAGATCACATATCGAGCGGCTGCTATCGTGTCCGGGGCTCCCCCTCTCCTCTGGGGGACCTGTGACCACGGCATCAGAACTCACCATAGAGCCCCTAGAGCAGACGAAGAACGGACTGTGATCACTGAGACCGTGGCGCTGTAATCACAGCACCACCTGTCTCAGCTGTGACTAACTGCAGCTGTCACAGACGCTTAAGGATTGGTGAGATACAGACTAAATATCGAGATTAACTCTCTTTATTCCAAAATCATAGTGATTATATTTTATTATTAGTGTTTTTATTATAATTTGTATTGACGGTGTGCAGGGTGAATGATTCTGATACATTTTTCCATATCTTTTTCCATTTTATTCCTTTTGATTGTATTGTGCATGGTTAAATTGGGTACAGATCTGTGTGTAACTAGTTGCTATTGGAAGTATTCTAGCCTGCTGGTTTGTTGTTCCTGTTAGACTAGTAAGCCTATTGTCTTCAGAACTCATTAGGATTGTAAGGGAAATTTTACTTTTGAGATACGTCTCTTTCTTTCTTACGGGACGCGGAAAGTGAGAAACTGTCTTAAGGGTGTCTAGGTATTTTTATTTTTAATATTTTGATAATTACTTTCCATTTCCTTCATTATGTCTTTGCATTATAATTACCAGTCATTTAAGTTTTGTACATAAATATATGATTATACTTGTATATTGATAAATTATTTTGATTGATTAATTTAATTGGGAGATATTTATATATTTTGGTAAGAAATCACCATAACCTCAAAGAACTCAGAGAATTTATTTTTTTGTTGTGTATTATTAAGTGTCTGAACTAAATTCATACTGCTTATTAAGTTATTTATTATTTGCCATAATCGGCTGGAGGCACTGTCTATTGAATCTAACTATAATTCAGACACGGCCCTTTTATTAATAATGAATAACTCACCAAGATTTTTATACCACTCAATCACAACAGTGTGTAGTACAAGACTGTACTATACAGTACTGTAACATTTAGGTAAAGAACTAGTACAGTATCTTACAGAAGTGAATACATCCCTCACATTTTTGTAAATATTTTATTATATCATTTCATGTGACAACACAGAAGAAATTACACTTTGCTGCAATGTAAAGTAGTGAGTGTACAGGTTGTAAATCAGTGTACATTTGCTGTCCCCTCAAAATAACTCAACACACAGCCATTAATGTCTAAACCGCTGGCAGCAAAAGTGAGTACACCCCTAAGTGAAAATGTCCAAATTGGGACCAATTAGAAGAAGTTTGCCAAATTATTACTCACTTCTGTGAGATACTGTATGTTCAATTCCAGTACATCTAAACCCAAAAATAAAAATTTTATATATTGCAGCTTACCAGTCCTAAGATGGAATAGCTGCATTAGTTTTATTTCATTCATCAGACATTTTTCCTGGAAATAACACTTCTCTAGCTACTCTCACTCCATCACTGTATCTATGGAGGAAGCCATGGTTGTCATCTAGGCTGAACTTCAGTATGACTTTCCCACTCCTCCCCTCCCTCATATACAGAAGGGAGAAACATTGTTTTGTATACCAGTTTAATTCTAAATATTAAAAAAGAAACAAGGACATCACATTTCTGCCAAGCTCACCATCTATTTCCTATATTTGCTGAAACCGTTATAAAACGTGAAAATTGCAATACTAATGCAGTCACCACATCCTAAGTGTAGAAATCCTTTAATAAAAACTCATTCACTAAGAGAGACGCCCATCTTATTTATGTTTATTCAACATGCAGCACCTAATTGAGACAATACCTTTTTGACTAGCAGACAAACGTGGTGGCCCTGGATTGACCGGCTGTACATTGATGAGCAGGAATCAACTCGCTCAACCACTGAAAATACAAATTTGAATAAATACGGTGAGTGAAGACCTTACTACTAAACTAAGTTGAACACCATCAGTTAAGTTGACAGATATAGTGCTCACCTGTGAAGTGGTGGTAGAAACAGATTTTTGCTAACAGATGGTGGAAGGACAGAGTTATATCTTCCACTTTCAAGGAACTCATTTTAAGGTCTTCTGACTCCAGAAGCTTGGCAAAAGCATCACTAGAGAGCAGAAAATAATTAAAAACATAAACCAGTAAGCACTAGTTTATTTATACTTCCTGTTCATTTTTGATTAAAACACTAAATTATCTTGAATTGATCAGGATTAATAGTGCATCCAGGAGCTGGTAAGCATGTGCCCTACCTGACACCCTCCATCTTACTTCTCAGGCTCCGCTGCCACTCCCAGTATCGGCAGGTAGTGGGGAGAGCAACCAGCGAATGCTGATCTTCTCCCCGCTGAATAAAACCGGAAGCAACAATGATTCCATCACTTCCATTTTCTGAGCAGTCATTCCCTGACTAGAGAAGTCGGGAATAAGCTGATCAAGCACAACCTGTCCTTGGGCTGCAAACGTGGCATCAGGGGTTTAATAGACTCCCAATGTCATCCTAAAGAGGACCTGACATTACTACAATCATATATAGGGGGCCCCCTATGTATCATATATAGGTGAGCCCCCTTATGTGATAGCAATGACGTTAAAAAAAGGAAAAAGAAATAAAAGTTAAATAAAATAAATGTAAAAACGCTTGCAAAATGTTTAAGTCCCCCACCCCCACACATAAAAATGCAAACACGCTTTGGGTGTGCCTATGTAGGAAAACGTCAAATTGTACCACATGTTAGGTATTGCCACATATGCCAGAGTAAGAGCGATAATTCTAGGCCCAATATTCATGGTCAACTCTAAACTGATGACCTGTACAGGCTTTTAAATCGTTGCCTATTGACAATTTAGGGGACCAAATTTTTCTTTTTTCACCGTTGCACAGGCACACACACATTTTTACACTTGACATGTTGGGTATCTATTTAGTGGGCATAACCTCATCTTTTATATTTTACAAAAATAATGGGCATTCTATTGTGCTCTTATGCACTAAAATTAATCAGTAGTTCTTACCAAAATTTGGGTTTGATAACAGTTGTGGTAGGATCATGTGACATAAAAAACCACAACTGCCACCATTTTATTCTACAGGGTCTCTACTTTCAGAAAAGGGGGAAATTACGTAATTTTCAGACCTAAAATGTGGATTATAACATGTGCAACAAAACAGTTCTGAGAGCGAAAGGGTTAAACCATAGGGAAATGCGCACATATTGCAGTTATGTGCTAAATATGTTTTGTTTTTTTTCTATTTGTACCCTGGCAAAAACTATAATAATCACTTTAATGCCACAATTTAAAACAGGAATGTACAATAAGCCCTCTCATTTGATGTGACAAAAGCATCCATGGTTGTCCATTCTCCTAATAGAATTAAAAATTAAACATTTAATTTTTGTCTTCTGAAGACTATACTTTGGATATTATTCGCATTTTTATTTTTCTGTACGGTGATTTGCATAAATTCTACAGTGCTTAAAAAACAGGCAAGGAACATACCTGTAACAAGGGGTTATAATTAAATAAGAGGAACAACTGAAATGGATTTTGAAGTCGAGTTTCTCATGAGATGAGCCATCATCATCCTGCAGGAAGAACAAAATATTTGCAGTCAGAAACGGTTGGTTTAGAAAAGGGCAACTAATAGCACCTAGAACCCTCAGCGGACTGCAGTTCTGCACTCGTTATCCCTGCGTAGTATCTACCTGGGGTATGAGGAGGTGTGATGTGCTGGTTCAGAGTGTATGAATCCCCTTAATTAAAATGCTACTAGAGGTGGGGTTTAGGCGAACAGAGCCACAGCCTGCTCAGGATTCTGGTGCCACAGGCCAGCCCTAAAAGGTACTTTTTTTTAAAATAAGTATGATTTAGCAGTTTACGAACAGAAACTAAAAACAAGCTCAGTCATGAAGGGGTTAAACTAATTTACATATGTTCAGACAAATATTAGGATAACAGTACAGTTTTTGTGGTTTACCATGTCACAAAACACTGGTATTTGCAAATTCTTGCATGAATGTTTCATACTCGCACAATAAGTAACCTCATCCAATACAGTCAATGCTTTACCAAGCTTCATTGGGCGCTCTTTGCTACCGTAATTGGAGATTATCGTTTACTCTTCAGTTTTGTATTTTTAAAATGTATTTTCTTAATGCACATAACCTACAACAGCAATAGTTTACAGCAAGTATCACATCACTATTGCAATTAGGTGTTACTTCAAGTTCACTGCATCACTGACCTACTGCTCGTTCAAAGATGACACCAAAACCTTTACAGGAAATCCTGAGGACTTCAGGGAGACATTGTTTGAATGGAAACATTATATGGCATTTTTATGGAGTACTTTGTAGCACAACTGGAAGCTTAGGACCTTTAGAGCTTAGCACAGGGTGCCAGCTGTCATTGACAGCTGTTAGCTCCAGCACCATCTGCTGCCAGAATAAATGCTGTTTTAAAGTGGCACTATGGCTGAGATGGACTTCTCCATTTTATTTAAAAGACTGTGATTTGCGTAAAAGTTGTTATAGTTAGGCTGACTGTTTAATTTGCACCTAATCTCACAAGCTACATTATGTAATTCAGCAATAATAATGAACTAGAAAGGGTGCATAGGAAAAAGGTGGCAGAAGAGAGAGAATGTGATCGAACACACCAAACATAGTGATATCTGGGTTATGAAAAACTTGCATATTTTGCCCACATATTCTGATATCTACGACAACAAATCAGCTAAAATGTTGTTGTGCTAAGAAGCGGCCTTTAAAATAAAATAAAAAACACCCTAAAATGTGTGACTGCTTTGTAAATTAATAGGACATCACTTGAATTATATTATCACTTTATATAAAGCCCTGCACCAAAAATATAAAGAAGAACCTTGAAAATGACATACCTTAACAATAAATGACAATGTTCCTTTGAGCTTCTGAGGCATTATAATACTTTGGACAGTGAAAACAAACTGAGCTTCATTAGACACACCTGGAGTGTAAAGCAGAAACATACTCTATAAAAATCAAATCCATTCACAATACACAGAAATCCCTAAGTGTTGCAATATAGCTAATATATATCATCACCAGTAAGACAATATAACACAAGGGAAAACATCTGAAAGCGTTTCTCTAACCAAAACTTATTTTAGTTAAATTGGGAGATTTTCCCTTACTTCTTGTCCCAGGTAAACCTTCTCTAATATGGACATTTGATGAGGATGATGATTAAATAGTATTTTTGTATTTATTGTAAAATCCTTTTATTAGAGTCCATTGTGGAACAAAGGAAGTCGTATCATTTTTGGTTATACTGCTGCCTACAGAAGGATTGGACACTGACTAACAATACAAATTGTAGGCAAGCTGAAGATAAACCCTCCTACTGCAAGCATCTTCATTTTTGCAGCAAAGCAGTACCAAGAACATGATCATAAACACACAGGGGTGGGACCTGTGCACCTCAATGCACTAGAGCTGCAGCTAACGATTATTTTCAAAATCTATTAGTTAGCCGATTAAAAAAATACATTAAAATACATTTTAAAAAATGGCTCCAGTGATGGACTACTAGTTTGTATTGAGATTGCAGTCCATCACAGGAGCAAGCTTGGAGCGGTGGAAGTAAAAAAAAAAAAAAAAGGGTGGTGTGCAATATAGTGAAATGGAAAGTGTAAAATTATACAGCAATCAATGTAGAATGACAGCGGCTATAGAGGACAACAAAACAAAGCAAAAATGCAGAATACCACCAGCTATAGAGGAATACAACAAATCCCAGAAATAGTACATTAGAGCTGGCGGTATTCTGCATTGAGCTGTATAATGTACTAATCCTGGGTTTTGTATTCCTCTATAGCTGGTGGTATTTGGCATTGCGCTGTATAATGTATTATTGCTGGGTGTTGTAGTCCTCTATACAGCGCAATGCAGGATACCACCAGTTATAGAGGAATACAGCAAATCCCAGCAATACGTTATACATACAGTGTATATTGTATTGCTGTCACTCACGCCTCCCTGCAGGGATTCCCCCCTCCCCTGTCCGATCCTTCATCGCTGACTGGTGGAACAGACGGGGGAGGGGGCGGGTACAGCCCCTCTGCCTCTGGATATGCAGAGACAGCTGTCACTCATGCAGCTGGGTGGATCCAGACAGTAATGTCGTGATCCGTCCCGGCTGCGGCGTCTCAGTATACTCGCGGTATACTGAGCTTTGGGTGACGGGAGGACGCTAGTTTGTGTCCTCCAGTTACCCTTAGGAGAACTATAGGGAAAAGCCCTGACCCCATAGTTCTCCTTTAAAAAATATTCAAGGAACAAAATGTAAACAAAAAGACTAAGTAAACCTGGAAGGTTCCCACTATCTGCCTTCCGCAGAAACTAACCAAACATTAAAAAGGATTGTGCTCAATGCAGGACCCATCAGGCAGAAGCAACTTTTTTTTTTTTGTGTCCAACCTACTATATATAGGCTTGGTGGTAATGAAGATTTTGCCACTGCTTGACTTTGTGGGCCCCTATTTTTAAAACTAAAAGTGAAAGAATGTGTAATGCCCACCAATGGGGCATTTGTATTGGTGACAACTTTTCCCTGCTAAGTTCTGGATTACTACGCTCACATAGAATCAAGATAGGCACAAGTCCTAAAGCTCCCTTAACTGTCAAATCTCCAAAAATATAAAAGACAAAGTAACTGCTACAGATCAGGTCAGGCCTAATGACTGTTTTGTGCTCCTTCATGGTCATAAAGCTCAGTCCTTCAGACAAAGAACAGAAGGCAAAATAATCGTTAGGCCAGGTATTTGTACCAATTTCATTGCTTCATTCATAAGAATAAAACCATCAACACATGAATCCGTACAAAATTGACAGTTTTATATTCAAACATTTTTCAGAGTAAAAATGTACTGTTGCAAGAAGCAAGCCAACCTGGAGGTAACTGGAAGGGTACTGGTATGCCATCATGTGCAGATGCTCCTTCTGGCCTCTGCATTTTGGTATTTAAGGAATCCAGGACATTGATCTCCATGTTCTTCAGGAAACTTTGACTCTGGTTTTCAAGGATAATGGAGACTGTGACCTGACCCTCCTTCTGTAGATCTCCTTGAATGTCATACATCTGATATAAAAAAATTAATAAATTAAACAGTTTATTTTTAAGGTTTTAATGAAACGCAAATTTCACTTACAACATTGTTCACAAACATTATGTTAAAGAACGAGTGGAATTAAGATCAAAATGTATAAGTAGCCTAACAAAAATATATTTCTTCATAGGACAAAACATACCAGTGCTAAAGGACAATAATTGGGTTATGCCAAGGCAGAAAAGCAAACACAATAACCAGAATAAGAGCAAGAAAAAAGCAATACAACATGCCTGTCAATGCAGCCTAAAGGGAGAGCAGGATAACCCTCACTAAGAGAAGAGGACTTTACCTGATAACATAAGCAGATTCAGACATCCATAAATGACCTATGAGGATCAGGCAAGACTATGACCTGAAACATTTCCTATTTATAATTATATATATTTTGAACATGGAAACAATGGAAATCGCAAGCCTCTGAAATCAGTTACATAAAATAGGCCAATGGGACATGAAAATCTTTTATGCTGGAAAACTAAAAATAGGATTTCTTTTACGCATCGGAAAATTCTGTTCATTGATTTCATTCATGAACATGTGAAGATTTAACCTTTGGGTTATGCTGTCACCTACAGGAGGATTGGATGCTGGCAAACAAAATTGTAGGCCACCCCAGGATAACCCCACCTATTGCCACAATGCAATCAGTTTTGCAAGCAGTACCAAGAGCATGATCATAAACAAAGAGTGGGACCTGCATCTCTGAAAGGACTCCAAGAAAAGGATTTTTATGGTTAGTACAAAAAAATTATATTTTCTTTCATGTTCATTGAAGGACACCAAAAAACGTAACCCTTAAGAACTTCCATAAGCAGTCCATTTCTTGGATGCAGGTTCTGCAGTCTTAAAACTTTAACCAACAGGCTCTCCACGTGTGGAATGACAGGAGACTCATGCTGTAAATGAGATGAGCAACCTCCAACAGCCCATCAACACTAGCTTAGGACTACAGTCTTTTGCTACAAATATTATATAAAACAAGGGTTCAACAGCGATAGTAATTAGATCCCTTCCAATAGTCTTAGAACAGTCAGTGGGTGTTTGGAAAATCAAGGTCACAGCTACAAGAGGGTGAAGAGCTGGGCCCGTGAGTAAGAACAAAGCTCTAGAGGGGGCCCTCCAACTCCTTATCATGGGGTCCAAAAAAAACAGGTGGTAGTAAAAGGGTGTTATTCTGGGTTGGCCTACAATTTATATTGCTGTTTTTGTGTCCAATCCTGGCGTAGGAAGCAGTATAACCAGAAGGTCATGTCTTGCTTTGTCCCTTGGACGAGAAACCAAATATACATAAGAGGACATTAGTCATTGAATGTTCCCTCCTAACGCAGGATATTAACCAAATCACATGTAAACCTAAATTTGTCTTGTATCTGCCTTATAAATCCTACATGTCATAGCTCATTTAACATCTTTTCTCCCTCCCCAACACTTACCATTTTGATATATTTGCTTTCAGCCAAAAGAGAGTAACTGGACATTGGCTTAAAGAAAAAAAAACAAAGTGAAGGTGAAAAACAACGCAAGAATGTAAAGTCACTACATTAAAATGTCTGTAAAGGTAACAAGGTATTTAGAAAAGCATGAACAATCCAAACCAAGTATTTTGATCCTCATCAATTTCTCAGTCAATTATGAAAGTACATTTTTAAAATTATTTGCTAAACCTTAAGTATTATGTTGCTTTTTATTACAATCATCATGGTTTACACAAAAAGTACCACCACTAGACTAGACACACGCCACCAGCAAAGCACATATCTCTCTACACAGACTGCCTCACGATTATATAAAACCCTTGACTGCACTTTCAAGCAGTATAGAATCAAATTTTTTTATGTATTTATCTCTCATTAGTCACCTAAGGAAATGTACATAGTTAATGAATAAATAAAAAAAAAAAAAGGACAATGAACTACAGACAAGGAAACATTTCTCATATGTATACGGTCATAGCATGATTTATGTTGTATCCACAATAGGACTGCTACCTTGCCACATTTTGGGAAAGGGTGATAAGGTAATTTTGCTAACAGGAGGGCTACACCAGTTACAGCATGTGCACCGGGTAGGGCCCACCATAGCCAGACTGCTCAAAAAGTACAGATAAAACTAAAAGTGCTTCAGTTTGGAATTTTAAGCTCAGGGTTAACAACCTTCACTCAAATAAAAATGGTATAAACATAAAAACATCTTCTACAAACAACAAGTAATGGGCAAGTAGAAGTGTGAGAATTATGCAGCTACCTTAAACACCAGGAACTGAAATAAGCAATGATGACAAACCGTGATGCTGCAGTTTATTATTTAGCTGTTCCACACACAATATATGCATATGCAAACGTTGAATAAATAGTTTATTTAGCTGATTGATTATGACGTCCATGTATTTCTTTTAGCATTAAATTACAAACAAATCCTTCTTTAACTCACTGGTAACTGTTCTTCTTCATCTAAGGTGCCATTATGCACAGATTCGGTGTGGTCACTGGAATGGGATTCATTGTGATGATGATGGTGATGGTGGTGGTGGTGTTTCTTTTTGCGTGACTTCTTTTCTTCCTTTGCATCCTCCTTCTCCTTCCTATGTTTTTTCTTGTGCCGATGAGATTTCTGTACAAAATAAAATTAATATCGTGATTTAAAAAATAGGATTTTTGTATGTACTCATCCTTTTCTTCGAGACTTTTGAGGGACACAGGAAGTATTTTACCTTTGGATTATACATCTGCTTACAGGAGAATTTGATATTAGCAGAGCAAAAAATCGGTAGGCCTGCTCTGGATAACCCCTCACACAAGCAGCATGTCTCAGTTTTGTAGCAAGCAGTGCCAAGAACATGAACATAAACACAGAGGGGTAGGAGCTGTGTTCCTTAATTAACACCAAGAAATGTATTTTACAGTGTGGACAAAAATCCTATTTTCTTTCTCTTCCATTGAGGAACACAATGACTTTAAACTTTGGGATGTCCAAAAGCAGTCCAACTCTGGGGTGGGCAACAGAGCAAATGCCAACAGGCCCAAAAGAAAGAACAGAAAAATAGCTGCCTGGAGGACCTTATGCCAGGAACTGGCACCAGAGGAGGACTGAACATCCACTATTAAAACTATGAAACATAAAACAGAAGAACAAGTGGCAGCCTTCCAAATCTGTGAATGATACCGGAAAAAAACCCAAGAAGCATTCAACAACGTAAAATGCTGCAGAGGGTGGAAACTGATAATTGAGACTATAAGCTTGAAAAATGGTGGAACATGAAGCTGGGGTATCCTTAAGGGGGCCATAGGAGATGACCAAAGAAGGCAATTAGTCTTTCTGGAGAAGCAGTGGCTGTGAAATAAACAGCCCAAACCACATCCAGACAAAGGGAAATTTATTTTTGTTGAACTATAGTCAGAAATAAGAATGGTGTCCTGGTTGAGATGAAAGGGAGAAACTACATCAGGCAAGAAGGAAGCCTTGCGGCTCAACACCTCCTTGTCCCCATGCAAAGCCACCTGACCGTAGGTGAACGGATGTTTTCTCTCTCTTTTGAGAGACGTAAACCACTTCTTTTTTTTACTCTTGTATTATTTTACTAGCTTGCATCATGCTAGGAGGGGTTATCCTCCTGGAGGTGGCAGTATAACCCAAAAGGTGACAGACTTCCTTTGTCTTTCAATGCACCATAAAATAATATGGCTTAGGGGAGACTCAGATATACAAAAACCGCTGTGTTAATGTTGGTGACACACTTTATCACATATGTCCTTGTTTATTTTGCCCATTGATCCACTTAAATTAGTATGGCTTAAAAGATCAGATCACTGAGTGTAAGTGACACACAATATTTTTTTGTCTCATTGCTTTACATTTCTAACACACAGAATACTATTATAAGATTTTTCTGAGGATCCAACCAAACACAAACTTTGCTTTTAAAATCAAGCTCCGCTTTGTAACAGAAAAATTAATGATGGATTTGCCCTAAAATGAAATTTTATTCCTACTTTGTATATAAAAAGGTGTATGCATTCATTAGAAAAATCAAATATTTGTTAAATACCTTATCTGTGTCTTCTTCATTTCTTTCTATTTGGACTGTATCTGCTTCCACTGGTTCCTCTGTTGCTTCAGGCACAGTCTCGGTGGAAGGTGCCTGTGATGCAATACATTATATTTCATAATTTTTTTAAATATAAAAAGTTCACAGTACAGTATCATTAGTATATTTTTTCCTGGGGGGTTGAAACTCTATCATCATTAACACCAAACCCACATCAGCTTCAGCTTCCCATTTTACAGGCTACTACTTACCACTGTTAGTGATATAACCCTTAGTTGGCTACCACAACATGAATGATTGTGAAACATTCAGCAGGAAATCATCATTAACCACGTGAAGGCCGGGGTGTTAAACCCCTTCCTGTCCAGGCCATATTTCAGTGTTCAACACTGAGGTACTTTGACATTTATTCAGCCATGCAATTCTGTACCGAAATTAATTTTATATCTTGTTTTGGGACAGATAACGCTTTTGCTTGCTGGTATTTAATCACCTCTGAGTTTGCCATTTAAAAGAAAAAAAGTACAAAAATACTTTTTTTTTTTAACCACTTCCACCAGCCGGACGGGAGTCTTCTGGATGCGGGTGGGCGTCTTTAGACATCCTTCGTGCCCACGCCCCATGGCGCGCAAGCGGGAAACTGCCAGAATTTTAAACGGCCAGTGATGGCCGTTTACATACAAGCGGTCCGATGCCCGATCGCTTGTATACTGCATCTTTCTGGGCACCCCGCTCCTTAGCTCTCCTGTGGTCGCCGTCCCCGCCGTGATTCCGGGCATCCATCCGGGACCGGCAGTGTGGCTCCCTGCACTGAGAACGGAGGTAGTTCAGTACACGCTCCCTCTCTCCCCCCTACATCACTTCTGCATTCCTCTGTCACTCTCCGGTACAGAAACCGGAGAGAAGCTGATGAAGCAGATCTGTGCTTCATCAGCTTCTCTGGGGGTCCCTAGGTGACATTAGGATAACCCCTGATGTCTCCAGAAAGAGGACCTGTCACTGTAATTTGATATCCCATAGGGGGATTCTTATCCAGATGTCCAGATGAAATTAAAAAGAAACGCATTAACTCTGCCAAGTTATTGCGATTTCAATTTTTTTTATTATTTAAGACAATAGCCCTAGCCTTCAGGGCTCTCAGATAAAAATGACTCTGTAAAACCGAAGAAGAAGAACTCTGGTCATGTACCGCACACTGCAAAGGTTAAGTGCTCATTTTGGTCTAGGGTCTAAAATAAAAAAATATATACTCACCATAGCGGTGACCGCTCACCTCTACCCCCTTCACTCCAATGTGAGTGAATGAACGTGATGAAGTCACAGGTCCTAAGAAAGCCGGAGCTCGGGGAAGAAGAGGCTACAGGGACTAATCTAGCATCCAGGTGGGACCGAGGATTTTGGGGATTGGGTTTTCTATTCTTATAGTTGTAAATGTTATCTGAATAAGTAAACTAAAAAAGTTTTGGGACTTTAGTCAAAAAATGTAACACTCTCACAGAAAAGGGACAAATGTATATCGTGCAGTTGCATATGAAATAATTAAGTGTGGGGTAGAGAAGTATGAAGAAGTAGAGAAGTATGTGGCCATGGAGAGGCTTTAATGTCTGGCAGGGCTGATTGGACACTGCACACTTGCTTGATTCAGGTGTGAATTGAACTGTTTGCAAACACTTCTGGTGTAGGCAAAATAAAAACAAGCCTAACTTTAGCCCAAGAGACTTGATTTAACTGAAGCTGTAATGTATTTCACTTCCAACAAACTGCAGCAACTGGATATAACAGGCATTCCTAAAGTCCAGCAGTCCAGTCCCCACAACATTCTCTTGCTGTATGCACAGCAACATCTATGGCCTCTAGTGGTAGAGAAGGCTAACAAGGGGTTATAAAGGCCTAGGATACACCACGTTCAATCGGGGAATGGCTTGTTTGGGCCAGGCTGGGAAGGGTCAAACAAATGCTATAACCTCTCCAGAATTCCCAGATGGTGACAGTGCAGTCACCTGTACCCCCTCCTCCTCACTGGCCTTATCCTCCGATTCCTTAAAATTTTAATCAGACAATGGCTTTGCCACTATAACCAGGTTAATCAATCACATTTTCAAATATAACATGTCATCTTCCTTTCTCCTGCCATTTCCTTAGAGCCCTGCTGGGATCCCATTTGCTCTGCTGTTTCACACTTCCAGAGTGATAAGCATTCAGCAAATCCATGCCATCACCATAGAACTTCACAGGTCCCAAACCAGCATGGAGCAACTAGGAACAAGCACACCCACAGTACAAACTATAGTCTCTAGAATTCCTTCTGGTTTAAGATGAAACTGTTGCATCTAAAACAGTGGATGCATCAGAAGCCAGTATAGATGTACCATACTGCACTATGGGAAGACAAAGCATGACATTTTTAGGTTGTTGCAAATATTCAGATTCCATTAGGTACATGCTCCCACAGCGACTTCTAGTAAATATCTGAACTGTAGAAAGGATTATGTTAATACTGCAAATTCCCTTTAATGGATTACAAAAGTGTGATGATCAAAAGTGACAGCAATTTTACCACAAAGGTGCACTTGCTCTTAAAAATCAATTTACTAAAGGTACTTACTGCCTTGCCAATCTACCAACCTGTGCCTGCGCTGGGGCCAAGGAGCTAGTTAGCCAGAAATCCATATCCTGAAAACCAAAGATCCAGTGATTGAGCAAAGGAGGACTAGTGTACATACAAGGGAAATAGTGGCTAAACACACGCAACACGAGTAACAGACAAGACTCTACAAGAACACTACAATCACTTGGTTAGTTGCAGCAAAATATGCAAATACAATATTTTTAGACACAACTAGGCACAGCTCTGTATACCTCCTGGCTAAAAATCATAAGGGTGTTGCAGCATTTGTCTTTAGCAGTATAGGACTTACTGAGTGCTCAAAAAGTTATTTTTTTGAGCTCAGGACCTCAGGAATTTTTTAGTTTTGTTTGATTTTTTTTTAAAGAAATACAGAAATTGTGGAAGTGATCACTTACACAAGAAAGCGGACAATATAATGTGGGAATGTACACAAACTCCTGGCTGCAATACCAGTCAGAAGTCTACATGTCAGTGTTGCCACCAATGTATGCCTTACTTTGGTGGCAGCTAAAGTGTCAAAGCTTTTTTAAAATTGAAGTATAACAATGTATAACTGAACCCCCCCCCCCCAAAAAACACATATCGCGATCACATTCTACACAACACACTACAGTTTATATCACTTCTAACTCACATCCGATGCTGCTTTGTCATCTGCTTTATCTTCTTCAGGTTTTACTGCTGCCTCTTCCGCTCTAGAAGCGATAGTTACTGATTTCTTGCGTTTTGTCTTCTCTTCTTTCTCTTTACTTTTCTGTCACAATAAGCAAATAAGAAAAAACAATTAATAATATATATTTAATCTGTATATATAAAAAACACCATTTAAACTTAAATTTATATAAAAAAAAAACCAATGAAAATAAATGATAGTGGTGGTTGTATTTATATTGTCTAAATCAAAACAGTAAAGGACACCGTGTACATTCCTACAGCTACCTATATGCATTAAAAGGAGAATTCCAATATGCAATCAATATTCTCATACTTTCCCCATGCCTGCTATGCAGTTTTCTGTTCTTATTTTAACACTATTCTAAGTTTTTCTACCTTAAAATTGACTGTCACCAAAGAGTCATATGTACACAAAGGGAAACCTGTAATATAGGCCAGTGTTCCCCAACCCTCGGTCTGCGGACCGGTAGCGGTCCGCGGATCAAATGGTACCGGGCCGCGCAGTCTCAGTGCGGTCCGGTCATGCAATATATGGCAGTGCACGGTCCCCGTGTTCGAACACCGGGGCCCCGCACTGCCGACGGGCTTCCCAGTGAGGGGGTGGGTCCTGGGACTCACCTCCCCTCCCGGCCGCGTCTATAGTAACAGGCGGCGGGAGGGGAGTCACAGGAGACGTGTGTGTGTGACACGCCCCGCCCCCTGCAGTGAGTGCACACATCAACACATGGCTGCTGCTCCTGGAAGGGTGAGTCTGAGCGGGGGAAGGGGGTGGGGGAGTCTTACATCATGTCATTAGACGTGGATTATAATGGGGAATATTACACTGTAATGTTCCCTATTATAATCTATTTCTCTGATTAAATGATTACAGGTAGGCATGTGATCTATCAAAGTTTGAGACTACGTTAGAATGTGTGACCAGTGACGTGGTCACACATTTAGAACACCGGGGCCCCGCACTGCCGACGGGCTTCACAGTGAGGGGGTGGGTCCTGTGACTCACCTCCCCTCCCGGCCGCGTCTATAGTAACAGGCGGCGGGAGGGGAGTCACAGGAGACGTGTGTGTGTGACACGCCCCGCCCCCTGCAGTGAGTGCACACATCAACACATGGCTGCTGCTCCTGGAAGGGTGAGTCTGAGCGGGGGAAGGGGGTGGGGGAGTCTTACATCATGTCATTAGACGTGGATTATAATGGGGAATATTACACTGTAATGTTCCCTATTATAATCTATTTCTCTGATTAAATGATTACAGGTAGGCATGTGATCTATCAAAGTTTGAGACTACGTTAGAATGTGTGACCAGTGACGTGGTCACACATTTTAACGTAATCTCGTCCAGTTTTTCGGTGGTGGAATAGGTGAAGAATTCCAACGCTTACATTTTTTGGTGTAACTGTATTTTATTTTGAAGTCATGTTTAAATACAATTAAATAAAAATTATTAAATCAAAACAATCTAAAATATAAACAATCAACGCCCCCCCCCTCAGCGGGCCACGGTAAAATTATCAAGCGTTGACCGGTCCGCGGCGATAAAAATGTTGGGGAGCACTGATATAGGCAATATAGTTTCCTTTCCGTGGCCCATTTGTTGAAAGACAGCTGCTTTGCTTCTCCCTGGTTGCTGCAGGTATATAACCCTTCCTGGTGGATTAACCCCTTCGTGACTGACGACGTACAGTGTACGTCGCCAGCATCGGGGCTGTTTAAACTGCCAACAGATGAACCAAATCAGTATACTACATCATGCAAGACCAATCTGGAGCAACGAGAATGACTGGAATTCCTTTGTGTTATATCTTGTGTTGCAGAAAGAGGCAACAGCATCAATGGAAGAAAGACATACATTAGTGTGTACTGATCCCACAGAACTACTAAAAAGTTTCCACCACATCCACTATTGGATCCCTCATTCTAAAAACAAATTTGTCAACTTTCTTGTTGTGATGAGAAGTCAGAAGATTCACATCTGGCGTTCCCCAGTGGTGACAAAGTTGTCGAAACACCTCCGGATTGAGAGATCATTCGTCTGGATCCAGACATCTGCCGAGAAAGTCCATCTGCCAGTTTCCTACTCCTGGAATGTGTACCTCTGAAAAACGCTGGAACCTGAAGATCCACCCAATCCAAGATTGAATGTACTTCCGTTGCCGCTGACACACCAAGTAATTTATGTATGCCATCGTCCTAGCATTGTCTGATTGAATCTGAATTAGACATGCAGACAGAAGACGGGTTCAGTGAATCAATGGCAGACAAAACAACACCTTCAAGTCAAGGACATAGATCAGAAGCTTGTAATTCTTTAGGGACCAACAACCCTGCAGACAGATGATCCAAGAGACCTCCCCATCCCACAAGACTGTCGTCCATCTTGACAATCTTTCAAGTTATGGGAAGAAACAGCTTTCCCAATGTCAATGCAGGGGATGTCAACCACCATCAGTCTGAGCATCTTGTCCAGCGATAGAGGAAACTTGCCTCACACTGTAAGATTGTTCCTATGTAAAGTCCTGGGATGAAACTGAGCAAAAAGGTAGCGCTTCGAAGGCTGACACCATCAATCCCATTATTCTCCTGCAGGTTCTCGGAGAGGAACGGTGTCGGGATCAAAGTGATCAAACTTGATCCCGCAAATTCAATATTTTGTTCTGAGGAAGAAACACTTTTGCTTGAAGGGTATCCAACAGAAGACCCAAATACTTCAAGCGCTGTGACAGAACTAGGAACCACTCTTCGATATTCAGAATCCACCCAATGTCCTCTAATTCCACAGCACTATCTAGACATTGAGCTCTAAAGTAGAATGAGACTGTTCTCGGAGTAAAGGGTCATCTAAGTATCCAATGAAAAAAAAAAATCCCAGAACCAGAGCAAGAACTTTTGTAAAAACCCTTGGAGCCAAACCCAACCCAAAGGGAAGAGCCACAAATTGATAATGAATGTCGACTACCACAAAACTAAGGAAAAGCTGATGAGCTGGAAATACAGGAATGTGTAAATACATATCCCATATGTCTATAGATAACAAAAAATGTCCTTGTTTAAGAGAAGAAACAAGGGTTTGAATGGATTCCATACAGGGAATAATAATATTCTGCCAAAGGAAACGAGAACAAGAGCACCCAGACCCAAAAGACCTTGAACTACGCACGAAAGGTTCGTCCGCCGCTGTTAAGACATGGGAAGCTGGAGTGCAAAGAACCGAGGAGGAAGATGAAAATATATTCTCAAATTTGACTTTACCACATCTCTGCAAATCCCATCAGACGTCCAGCATCAAGAAACGCATCACATATGAAATGACAAGCAACAGTCATCTGATCCACACAATAAAATGTGGTTGAACAGCTGAAGGAGTTAATGAATAAATTGTACAAGAAAGATTCTCCAATTTTTGTCAGTAAGATCCTTAAGCAAAGGCACATCATAAATAGGAATAGTCAATGCCTTGATAAGATGAGAAATTGGAGGATCAACTGCTGGAGGAAGACCATTTTTTAACAAAATCATCTGAAAGAGGATACGGAGACTTAAAACAGTCTAGGAACCAGAAATTGCTTATTCAGAATTTCTCATTTAAAAATAGGATGAAGATGAAAAAACCTTGCAGTCATGCTCAAATTTATGTGAACCTAGACTAGAAATCACAGAAGCAGTGATAACATCGGAATCCTGTAATTTTAAGGAGGAACACACAGACTCAACGAAGAAGGTAACCTTTACTTTCTGATGCTAAGTGAATCTGTCACAGCCCAGCTACTGCATCAATGATTTGGCATAGTGTTTATGACAAGCATACAGTAGGTGAATCGTAGTCATGAGCTGAATCTATGCGCTATGTTCCTTGATCAAGGAATGAAAGAGTGCGCGCCTCAGGCACCTAAATACGTTTCGCCAATGTCTGGCCACTGCATAAACTTCACAAGTGCTGCTTGTGAAGTATAGTATCCAGGGAGAAGAAAGGAATAAACAGGAAGCCTAAGCAGAAATAAAGAGGAGAGCTTCCCCATCTGGCCAACTTGTGAAGTACTAGCAAGCAAGTAACATGCATAGAGCACCAGAGCAACACCTCAGAAGCCTTGTAATATACAAGGCACTTGAGACTGGAAGATCACATCAATGTAAAACACAAATGTTACAAGTTCCTGAATAAAACAAGGAGAGTAGGAAAGGAAAAATCACTTTTTACACATTGCCCTGCTTATGACAGTCTGTTCTGACAAAATATGAGGTACCACAACCACCTGCTGCAGACAGCAGAATAATCGAAAAATGGCTGTGTAATAGTATAAAACAGGATCTCTCTGTTCTCCCAAATAAAGGACATGAACTTCAAAACAAACTGGAAAAAAGGAAGCAGAGTCGAAAGTCAAAAAGTAAAGATTACATCTTTAAAGTAAAGAAACATCTAGAAATATTAATTTTGACTAAGCAGTACTCTAAGAATGACCTTTTGTCTTGGATTCTTACTGAAATTTAGCAGTGCACTTCTTCTGCCTTAAGTGTCATTTGCTGCATACCTCCAGCATATGATTATGTAAGGTACTGCTACCGTTGCGAATATCATGAAATGTGGTGATGTCACCATTTTGCTGCTCACTTTACACTCTTACTGGAGAGGAAGCAGTACCTGAGAGTACAAGAATCTTCATGCTTCTGCTATATCCGTTCTGTGGATGTGTGCTTTCTACACCACCCCTGCTGCTTGATTATTCACCCATCAGATCACAAGACATTAAGAGGACTGCCCTCACGTGAAGAAACAAGGCCCTGCCTCGTTCAAGATGGACACCGCCACACAGAGAAAAAAAGTGTGGAACATTGCATACCAAGTCAGTAATGTGGAAAAGATTCCCGAAGTTATATTAAAGACAGACACGTGCGCGCATGCACACACACGCACAACTCCTAAATCAACTATCCAAAAAAGCTAAAATTCATGCTGTAGTGATTTTCTCTCTTCAATTCACCTTCTTTTCTTTTTTCTTTACTTTCTCGGACTCTGGTAGTTTTTTATCCTTTTTACTGGGCTTTTTGACCTTTGAATCTAAAACAGACACTTCATTTTCTGGAGATTTTAGATTTTCAGTGTTTCTGTGTTTCTGGACTGGAAGCTGTTCTGTGTCTGCCAAAGGCCTGAAACAAAATAAGTAATCAATGTAATGAAGTATACTGTGTCATTTTTTTGCATACAAAACAGTATACATTTGTAATTGCAAGAGGAGAACATACTTATCCAGATCTATGTCTAGCGCTCTGTAGGGGTCATTTGGATCCTTGTCATCATCATCACTCGGAAGGGCATTCTAAAAAACACACAGGTAAAAAATACCTTGAAAAGGTTTTTTGTGACTCAAGTATTTCTACTGATTAGCCTCCATAATTTTGTGGACTAGTATTTAGGTGTGTTGAGCTGTAAACACATAGGGGGGAAATTAATCAAAACTGGAGCAGACAGAATCTGGAGCAGTTATCCATGGCAATCAGCATCTATCTTGAATTTGCTCAAGTAAGATTTGAAAATGAGACAGAGAAGCTGATTGGTTGCAGTGCAAATCTGCTCCAGATTTTAATAAATTCCCCCTATAATGTATGGTGCGGTGGTAGTCCTCTCATTCTTATGAGCATTTTTCTGCTGTTAAAATCATCAGCGAAAAAAAAAAAGTGTCCATTGTAAGGCTCGCCATACACCTATCAATTTTTTTTGTTCAACCCGAGGGCTGAACAAAAAAAAATTACCCGATTCCTCCATCAACACTAACAGTGCATCGATCGAGGAATCCCCGCTGTTTACATTGTAAATAGCTCATTGGCTGCCGGTTCTGATCGAACAAAAATTTTCCAGCCGGCTTCTTCGATCAGCTGATTGAGGAATGCCGGCTGAAAGGGAGCCGACAGCCCCACACACTGTGCGAATTTTCGACGGGTACATTAAAAACAGTCCGAAATTCGACCAGCGTGTGGGCACCTTAAGGCTAGCTTGCCCTACCCGACCCAGTGGGAACCTCAACTCACAGTATACCTATCCCAGGAAAACCTACAATGCTGACAAAAAAAGTGACAAGCACAAAAGAAATAAAGTGTAGGCAGTAAAGCCAGCTTTGCACATCAGAAGGCAATCTGAGAGCAAATATCCAGAGAAGCCATAAACGCATTTTCAGATGCTATTAAAAAAAAAAGTTTTACCTCTGGCATCTCCTCAGTCATTATGTCAACCTGGTGTGCTGGAGCAATGTCTTCATCACTTTCTGTGTGAATAGATTGATGTCTCTGTGACTTGCCACCTTTCTTATCTTTAACTTTCTTCCGTTTCTTGTCTTTTTCCTGACGTTGTTTGGTCCTTCGTTCCTCCTCAAGTTTTACGTACTGATCCGACATGGGAAGTCCTAAGTAATTGCATACATAAAGTGAATCTCAGTTTAAGTTTTGAAGAAGTTTTTCCATAGTTAATAATATTAAAATAAATTATCGACATTGAATAGGTAAGCGGGCATGAATAAACAACATGCTTATAATATAATCTGTACTGCTCATGGGGGACATTTAATAGGCAAAAATGCAGCACAATTAGATGCAAATAGTCTCTACAACAGGCTAAATGTGCATGGGCGACCACTGCACCTCCAATCGTGGGCTTCAACTGCGAAAGATTTGCACAGGTCTAAAACAGATTTGTGATTAAAGATGAGACATTTTTTTACTTTAAATAAATGCAGTGGTCATGGTCAGCATTCAGTGCTACTTTAGAAAAGGCAAGGTAGGAATTTATGGCTAAGCTGTAACCTTGTGGTAAATCTGTCACACAATCTGTCTCACTCATCATGTAAGGATTATCTTGCAGTGCGACAGAAATAATAAATGTCCCTATTGAGCTTCAAGTGTATGCAATATATAAAGTGAAAAATGCCTCACCTCCACTAATTAATATCTCAGAGCTCTTTAATAAATAAACCTATCTTAGACCTGTGAAAATCTGTTGGTTAGATGCCGATTATTCCACATGCAGAGGCAGCAAATACACAGGAAAGTCGCATAGACATTACCAAGTGAGAGGCAGCCTGAATTATGGTTAATAGTATCCCTAATATGTCTAATGATCCATAGTGTTTGTTTCATAATGTGTTAATAATGCAAGTATGGCATGTAATTATATTACAGAATGATTGCTTAATAATGTGAAGATAATGCAAAGTTCTCTTTAAGAAAATAACATGTGGTGCAGTAAAATACCTGGTACTTTAAGGGGAATAGACAGGTCAATCTGCACCACGGGAATGTGGTCAACACCTGGAGAGTCCTGATACATCTGTAAAAAAGAAGAATGTAAAATATTTTGGTACACAGAATTAAAAGCAAGCAGTAAAGATAATGCCAGTGGTACAGTGTACCAGACAATTTAAATGCCAGCATTTTGTCCTAATAAGTTTTGGCCTACAAAAATGGCAGTTGTCTGGAGGCAGGATACATTTGTAGGAAAGGGCTCTGAACATCCGGTACAAATTGAATTAGTAACTTTGAAGCATTAGGAGGCAAAAATGTAAACGGCCCTTTAACTCCTGGACCACATGCTGACCTTTTTTCCTACCCTAAAAATGTTGATCCCCTCACCCCAAAAGATACCATCATAGCATGGAGAGATCATATCCATTTATTCCAGTGGAGAACAGACTCTTTAGAGAGGTTGCAGTGTGCATGCACGCAATCAGCAGGATCAGAAAGTCAAGCGTTTATACAGAAGGCAGTGTGGCACAGAGCAGGCGAAAAGCGAAGAACCACAGAGCAGGGACAGGTAAGTGCACAACTGTTCAGAGATAAACAGGGAGGCATGAATTACATTGTAATCTGCATCATGCCTCCTCTGCTTCCAGACTACAGGTTCCAAGAACCCTTGTGGTTCCTATGCAAATGTTGCTATGCGTGTGCAGCCAGAAATTCTCCACCCTAATCTGTGCCAGTGCCTACAACACATCAGATAACCCGCAGCAGTGAGGACAGCAGCACCACTGTAGCTGGTACTTAGAAAAGGATAAACTAATAAATGTTATATATTTCTCTTTTAGAACTGTTATAGTTCTGCTGCCGGCCTAACTGCAGGAAGCACTGATATGGAGTGGTATCTGATGTGTTGCTGTAGGCACTGTCACAGTGAAGACTGGAGCACATACACATATTATATATATATATATATATTATATATCCCCAATCTCAGGGCCAGGTAGGGATGTTGCTGTTCTCACTGCGGGAAGCTATCGAATGTGTTGCAGGCATGGTCATTAAGCAGGGCTGGAGCATGCCAACATCTGTGACACGCCTCTTAATTTTGCATAGGGTCCAAAAGGTTATTTTTGCAGGGGCTAAAATAAAGAAGAGATGCATATCAACCAGTCTACAGGAGGTACAGAAGCTAAAGATGCTTTCGCTTGTCGAAGATGTTTTTTTTTTAGCACATAGAGAGACTGCTGTCAGCTTTATTACTTTTCATGCAGTCATCTGTACTGATCAGTTATGAAGGTACAGGGGTGTGGTTGTGTGTGTAAAGGAGCGTAGAAGTGCGCTATAGGGAGTCAGCCCGGGGAAATAAAGGTCTGTCATACAGGAGCACATGCGGGTGAAGAGGAGTGATGTAGGCAGCAGGTACCGCTGCTTAAAGTTTGTAGACAGAACAATGTAGCTGTGAAAGCATTCTGAGCAAATGGTTTACAAAGAAAAGATATACAGTTGAAAAGCGGTAGAAGAGTGACAAGTGAGTAGATGTAACTGTTTTATAATAAAAGTACACTTACTCCTTCAGTATCATTCACAGCAGAGGCAAACACCTTATTTAAAAAGGAAAAACATGGTTGAATGGTTTCAGAAAATAATCAAGGATACTGTATTTGTTGTACGCAGCTGATGACAATCTGTGCAGTCTGGCTTGTTTATCTAGGGAAAGACAGGCTTAACTATTACTTATGAAGGTGCTAGAAAGTGCTAACAAATGGGGATTCACAAAAGTGTCCTGTGAACTGTATGAGTAAAAGGGGAAACTTTCTATCCCAGTCACAAGGGGGAGTATTATGAAATGTTATGACATGTGCCAGTTTAGAGATATTACAGAACAGAATGTGTAACGCACCCGTGTCACCAGTTCATCCGCACTTAAAATACACAAAGGACCAAGTGATATATCGACTTACCTTCTGTGGTGAAGGTGAACTTTTAATGTAAAATGGGTTATTTGCTTGTTCTACTTTCCGTGCAGCACGCCTCTGCAAAATAGACCCCGTATGGGAAAGAAGTCATCTTCAACTTACATACATGTCATGTGAATATTAACAAGGAAGAACTTTTTCAGGAGACCTAGTAAATTGATCGCATAATCCAAAAATAATCCTAGATGGTGCCCATTTTAAATTCTTCACTAGGTAAAAACATTTTTTTTGTCATAGTTCTCTTTAGGTTGACAGTAATACATATACTAATGTCTTCCTGTGACCCAAAACTCAACCTATAGCGGGCTATTGCCTGCTATATGCTGACAGCGCAGAGCCACAGTACAGCCAGGATGGATCACAACAATATTGTCAGGATCCAGCCCGCTGCCTGATTGACAACTGGCTCTGCCTCAGTCAGCCCTGGAGGAACGGAGAGGGGAGGGGGGAATCCCTGCAGGGAGCGGTGACGATCAATCTGCAGGGAGAAGATCGAGAACTGAGTGATCAACAGTTTGTGATTGCTCAATTCTCGATCACCAGAGCCGACGTGTGACGGCTTCAGTGTCACACCTCGGCTCTAATTAAGGGGACGCTATTTCACTCTCCCCAGAAGCCTCCTTTAACAATTAAATGGGACTTTGTGCAGACAACAAAATGTGATTACTTTGCTTTCAGTTGTCAGTGCTGCTGTTTTTTCCACATCATGACTGTGATTGGTAGCCATTAATATCAGAACCACAATGATTGGGATGATTCAACAAAATTCTCTGGATGAACAAAAGATTACACATGTACATATACTGAAATATATTCCTCTCTCATGTATTGAGGGACAGAGAAAGTCTTACCATCCGGTTATAATACTGCCTACAGGAGGACTGATCACTCCCTGAAACCCCCAAAAAAACACAACCATCCTACTACCAGAATGCCTCCATTTTGAAGAAAAGCAACACTAAGAACACAATCATTAACACAGAGGGGTGGGTCCCTTTGTCACTCAATAGAAAAGGATTTTACAAGGAGTACAACAAAAACCCTATTTACCCACTGAGAGACACAGGAAGTCTTTAAGGTGGGCAACACAGCAAATATATGCTAAGTAGAAGAAAACAAGAAAAAAATAAATGAAAACCATAAAACAGGCAGAAATATGCAATATTTGTTTTTGTAACTTTATTCTGCATAAAACATGTAACAGTGTCATTTATGAGATTATGATGGTGTGTTTAGAGGCGGTGTTAAGGCTGGGGCAGGGTAGGGGCTAGGCCAACTGGTGGCGAGTAACTTTTAAGACCTGGCTAGTAGCTCCGGACTTCAATTTTTGACCCCTGCATTGTCCATCAGACAGGAAAGCTAGGACCTAAGGATTCACATTCTCCCTGAGGGAGGAGGATTTTCATACACTGCGATTTGGAGGTATTTATTTGGAAATTGCTAGGGATGCACCGATATATCGGCCGCCGAAACATATCGGCCGAAAATGTCACTTTTGGCTAAATGCCGAAAGTGCCATTTTCCTGCCGGTACATCGGCGTATCCGTGATTTCTTTCCTCCACGCTGGGCGCTGCTTTGTGTCCCAGCGGGGAGAAGAGAAAGTGACAGCCGGCCGAGCGCTGCGGGACAAGAGCGCCTATCACAGTGCGGCCGAGCGGTGTGGGGGCGGAGACAGCGCTGTCACAGGAGGCTGGGCTCTCCTCTCGCACCGCCCACTCAGCCTCCTGTGGCAGTGTGCGTCAGAGAGGAGAGCAGGCTACATACACTCAGCGATCATTGATCGCTGAGTGTTTGTAGATAATTGAGGATATGGTATGGTTAATATATTCTCAATTATGAATGAATGGGAGTGATCTTCCCCAAAGCCCCTAAACGTAAAGTAAAAAATAAAAATATTTAATAAAAAACGAATAAAAATAAATATAAAAAAAGGTTTATAAAAAATAAAATTTAAATAAAATATTTAAAAAAAATTTAATAAAAACATTTTTGGTATCGGTTTCGGCCTGACAATTTTTTCTATTTCGGTTTCTAAACTTCTATTTCGGTGCACCTCTAGAAATTGCTGACCTGTCCATATTGATCTAGTTCATGTAGTAACATGGGAAAGGCCACACTAGGATTAGTAATATAAATAAGTAGGGATGCATCGATATATAGGCCGCCAAAACATATCGGCCGCAAATTGGCATCATGCCAATGCCTGGCCGGTACAGCGGTGCATCCATCTTTCTCTCCTTCCCGCTGCTCTCTGTCCCGGTGGGGAGGAGAGAAACTGTGACAGGCGGCCGAGCGCTGCGAGTGGCCGGCGTCTCTTTTCCCACTCCGCTCAGCCTCCTATCACAGATCGGAAGAGCGATGTGTGGGTGGAGACAGCCAGCGTTGTCACAGGAGGCTGAGCTCCTCTCGCTCAGCCTCCTGTTACAGCGTGTCAGGAAGGAGACAAGTGCAAACACTCAGCGATCGCTGAGTGTTTGTAAATAATTGACATAGTATGTTTACAATATCCTCAATTATGAATGAATGGGAAGTGATCTACATCCCTTCCTGTTCATTCATAATTGTGGTTATAGTAAACATACTCTGTTCTCATGTTCTAAATAAAAAGGAAAATTCATAGAGGATTCCTGTTCATTTATAACTGGGACTGCAGTAAAAGGGAAATGTCAGGGGTCTGTTTAGACCCCCAATATTTCCCCAAAGCGCCTAAAAGTAAAGTAAAAAATATTTAATAAAAAATGAATCAAATAAAAATATAAAAAAAATTAAAAGTTTATAAAAAAGTTAATTTAAAAAAAGTTAAAATATAAAACATTTTTGGTTTCGGCCTGACATTTTTTAAAATTTCGGTTTCGTTTTGAAATTTTCATTTCGGTGTACATCTATAAAGAAGCACATCATCTGCAAATAAACATAATTTATGGATTTTCCCCAAAATGTACCCCTTTAATATTTTACTTACCCTCAGGGTATTAGCATTCTTGGCGAGCTCCGTTCGAAACGGTTATTGATTCGGAAAGTATTCTATTCACCCGTATTCATGCTGTGGGACTAGAATATAGTGCTAGAATTGTTTGTATAAAGGAAGTGGGCAATCCTATCTGGACTAATGTAGCCTTCATAAATTTCCAGACTAGCTCAAAAGGTTTTTTCTGCGGCCCAGTGCCAACAAACACAAAGTAAGCCTATATTGGCGGGAATGATATATGAGCCAAATTGTTTTGACACTGTGTTAATCCTTGCTTCTCGTTCTGGTACAAATCCCACCTACTCTGGATACATGAATAATGTTATATACGGCTGAAAACGAATAGCCAACATTTTTGAAATGTTAAGATTCTGGCTCACTAGTACAGCACTCCTAAGGTCCTGCATAAAATAAATCCAATCCACAGTGATAATTGTTGGAGATGTGGGGAAGAGGGGGCTATGCTTCATATATGGTGGGCCTGCCCTCAGTCCTGCAGATATTGGAATTCAGTATTTGAGATAAGCGAACATTTGGTGGGAACACCCTTGCCAGAAGCGCTGGAGACGCCATTGTTGCCCTGGGATCATTAGTAAAGGCTAAGGAGGGTCTGATACGATTTATCTTTAGAGCTGGTAGAACTATAATATCTAGACATTGGAAGTCATCATATGTTCTGCAGATCCGAGAGTGGATATGTGAGGTCAATGATATCATGCAAATGGAAGAACATACACCTAGATTGAATGATAGATATTTTGAACATAAGGAAGTGTGGCAAATTTGGATTGGGTTTTCTATGTCAGCAAAACTACAGGTGAAATTAAGTTCTGTGTTAGCCCCACAAAAGATTATAGGTGATCTAAATATTAGAAGGTATAGGGTAAAACTTGTTTTGTCTCTCATATGAAAGAGTGTACAATAAGAAAATCTTTGGAAAATAGAGGGCATTTTGTTTTTCTCATGTTGTTATGAATTCAATTGTTGTAAAGAAAATTTTCTATGCTGAAAAATATATTACAAAAAATAATAATAAAAAACTGCCTCTTGTAGTTTAAATTGCTATTTACTTGTTAACATTTTTACTTGGCTTCTCTTCCTTTGTATTGTTAGGAGGGGCAGTGACGGGATTGTGTTAACCCTGTCTTTATTGTGCTGGCTGTTATCATTATACTTGTAAGTAGATTTGAACACTACCTGTCCTAACAAACGATTAAAAGGGTTACAACTCTGGCTTCTGCATTGTATGTTAGAGAAACACATTACACACATTACACACATTCCTGTCCAGTCTTTCTATAAGGACAGGTCACTGTGAAGGTGCTCAGAAATACTTTTTTTTTACCCAAGATAAAGTCGCTAGTTCAGACATTAGAATCAGACCTGCTGCGGTCAAGGTGGAATAAGGAACATATAGGCTCAGGTTAAGAGGCATGGCCTCAGGAATTCACAAACCCCAAATAGCTGGTAGCAGTTGAGGGTTGGAAAGTCATGGGTGACCAAAGTAACTGTAGGTTGGCAGAAGGAACAGACTAAAGATCAGAGCTCCACGCTGCACTCTGCAGCCGGAGCAGCACTGGGGAGTTGCTTCCTTGAAGATGTATATCAGCAGAGACTACAGCCTGACAGTAAACCCAGCGGATGAAGTTAGTGCTCACTCCCACAGCAATACACCTTCAGTGGCATAAAATGGACAGAATAGGGAGAAATGGTGCCCAGCAACCAATGAAAATAAGGTAGCTCCCAGTGCTCAGCCAGACCAGCCTAATCACTGAATATGTCTTCGGAGACAGGGCAATGCCAGCAACTTGGGATCTGGAAAGTGCTCCACATCTAACTTACCATAACTGAATCTGGAAAGTGCCCTATGCGAAATCCAGTATCATCACTTCCATGGTATTCTTTCAAAAGTTGGGTCTAGCAGGGTCTGTATGCAGTATTTAAAAAACCAGGCCGAGGACAGTGCCAGATAGAGGTCAGGTGTAGGGCGAACCCCTAGCAGCAGTGTAGTGTCATGCTTATAAGGAGCAAAATATGACAACAGCAAAAAATGGAGGCAAGCTGGAAGTAGGAGGGAGTTTCTTTGCCAGTGTCCAATCCTACTGTAGGTGGCAGCATTAGGCATCATTCACACGAGAAAAAGACGGCACATAGAGCTCCGTGCACAGCCGTATCGTGCAGCTCCTGGGAAGGACAGGTGCTGCATGTGATTAGTAGGCAGCCCCCGTCCATCTCTATGGGAGAACGCGGCCGTACGCCACCCTACGCTCACCCCAAGTGCAGGTCCGTACGGGTGCGGGTGTCCCGGCTTGGACGCAGACAGGATCCATCCCGTCAGCGTACGAGTACAAACACCCGCAGGGATGATCTCCCTCAAAAGAGTAAAAATAAATAAATATATATTTATATTAGAGTTGCACCGCAATGAGATTTTTGGACCGAAACAGACCTTTTTTTCCAACTTTTTAAAATATTTAAAATTATTTTACTTTTATCTTACACACAGTTTCTGATTCTATATAAATAGTGCAAACTTATGAGTTTTGCGAACAAGTTTTGTTCTCATTTGCAGTTATGTTTATGATTTCTTTGATAATTGTTTTACCAGCAATTTTCAAGTGATTTAGAAAACATGACCACTTATTTTTAGTCCAGGATAGGTACCTTATCCTCTAAGGGCTTGTTAACACGATGTCCAGATTCTGCCGAGACCAGAAAAGTTAACTCCTGGACCAAAAACGTATCCCTATGCGATATCTGGGCTACAGTGCACACCTTTGCAATGCCAGAATGCGCAAAACGCATCACAAATGCACGAAACGCACCTGAAAACCCATTTTAAGTTTAAAAAAAAAAAAAAAAAAAAAAGAACGGGAATGGGGAAAAACATTATAAA